TTATTAAGGCTTGCTTTATGGCCTAACATATGGTCTATCATGGAAAATGTTCCATGTGGACTGGAAAAGAATGTATATTGTGCTGTTGTTGGGTGTAGTGCTCTGTAGATATCTATAAGGTCAAGTTGGTCGATTGTATCATTTAGCTCTTCTGTATCTTTGTTGAGTTTCTTTCCAGTTGTTCTATCTTTCATTGAAAGTGCTGTATTAAAGTCTCCTACTATGACTATAGAGTCATCTATGTGCCTTTTCTGCTCTTTTAAAGTCTGATTTATGTATTTTAGGGCTCTTTCACTGGGTCCATAGATATATATTGTAGTTATATCTTCTCGTTCAATTGATCCTTTAATATTATATAATGTCCTTCCTTGTCTCATATGGTCGTTTTTGTCTTAAAGTCAATTTGATTAGAAATTAATATTGCCACTCCTGGTCTTTTATGGCTGCTATTTTCTTGATACATCTTTTTCCAACCTTTGATTTTTAGTCTGTTTTTGTCTTTGTCTCTAAGATGCATCTCTTATAGACAGCATATTGATGGGTTTAGTTTTCTTATCCAATCTGCAACTCTCCGTCTCTTGAGTGGTGCATTTAATCCAATAAAATTCAGTGTAATTATTGACAAGTATGAATTGGATGCTGTCATTTTGTTACATGTTTTTTCATGGTGTCCCTGGTTTCTTTGTTCCATATTATTTTCTGTGCTGAGCTCATTATGTTTATGAATCGTGTTATCAATTCCTTTGTTGCTGTTGTTTTAGTATTTGCTGAGTATTTGTGCTTGTCTTCCTTTTTATTGTGATGTGAAGGTTTATCATTTTTCTTTGAGGTTACCTTATGATTTATAATTTTCTCCCCAATTTTAGAACAGTCCATTCTATCTTGCAACTCTCTTGACTTCCTCACCATTTAGAAGTTCTATAACTACATAGTATTTTCCCTCTTTTTGGTTTGCAGTTGCCCTCATTTGCCAATTGATGTCTCTGGTTCTCTGGTTTACAATCTTCTAAGCTTATTTTACTTTGGATATGTCCATAGCTATGTTAGTTTCTGGTTTATGTCATCTTGTGTATTAATGGTCGGTTGTTGTTTGCTATTTTTGGTTCACTGTTCAAATGACTCTGTTTGGTATCTCTTGTAAGGTTGGTCTGATTTTAACAAATTTCCTTAATTTCTGCTTATCTGGAAATCTCCTAATTTCACCATGATATTTGAGGGACAATTTTGCTGGGTATATAATTCTGGGTTGAAAATTTTTCTCTTTCAGGGTTTTATATATGCCATCCCATTGCCTTCTCACTTGGCATGGTTTCTGCTGAGAAATCAGAGCTGATTCTTATTGGTTGTCCATTGTGAGTAACTTTTTGTTTTTCCCATGCTGCTTTAAGGATTCTTTCTTTGTCTTTTGTTTTGATGAGTTTGATGATGGTATATTGTCTTGGTGATTTTCTTTTGGGGTCTATCCTGTTTGGGGTTCATTGGATTTCCTGAATGGATATATTCCCATCTTTTATCATATCAGGGAAGTTCTCTTCCAACAAATCTTGGACAATTTTCTCAGTGGTTTTCTTTTTCTCTTCCTGTTCTGGAATTCCGATGACACCCAGGTTATTCCTTTTGATGGTATCCCACATGAACCTTAGGCTTTCCTCATTTTGTTTTGATCTTTTTTCTGATTGATCCCTTTCCAAAGAAGTATTCAGGTATTTGTCTTCAATCTCATTAATTTTGTCTTGCATTTCATCAGTTCTACTCCTTTGCTCTTTCAATATGTTACCTATTTCTGACAATTTAGTATTAATTTTCTGGATTTCTATCTGTAGGTTTAGAATCATTTCAAATTTTTCATTATTTTCTCATTTTGTTGCATTTTCTTCCAAAATTCTTCTAGGGTTTTGTCTGTGTTTTCATTAATTTTGTCAGTGTTTTCCTTGATCTATCTCTCAATCCTTTGAAGATACCTAAATATAATTCTTTATAATTCCTTATGAGAGAGTTCTAATGCTGCTGTTTCCTCAGAGATGTGTTCTGGGTCTGTATCCTGCTCTCTTGTTTCTACCTCTTTATCTTGCTTCTTTGTGAAGACTGTGATGGTCTATTGTCTCCAAGACATTGTGATGTTGTATCTCTGTTAACTGTTTGTGAAGAGCAGCTAAAGGTGAGTCAGGCACTTCTTGGTGGTTGTTTATCATTGGCCCATTGTCAGAGAAGGAAGTGGTGGCTCTCAGTAAGTGAAGCTGCTGGAGGTGTGGTTGCAGTTGTGTCATATGGGGACTGTTGCTGTCTCCCATTTAGTTAGACAAAAATAACAATTGAATAACCATCAAAAAAGTAAAAGCAAATGCACAAAAAATACACCCTGTAATCACACAGGAACAATATCCCCTAAAAAAAAGAAAAAAGGAAAAAAAACCCACAATATCTGGGGAGAGGGCAATAAGAGAAAAATGGTAGAGTAGGAGAATAATGAAGAAAAAAATGGGAAAAATGCAAAAAGAAAAACAAGGAATGGTGTTAACCATGAGAAAGAAAGAAAATTGGAACCAGGAACAGGGCAAAGAGAAAAAGCTGAAAACTAGAACCTTTCCAGTCACTGGTGTCCATAATGTCCTTGTGGTTCACAGCAACTGGAGCTTATTCTTAATTCCCTGGAATCTGGGAGAATGCTATTGCTTTAAATATCAAAAATAAACCAATTGTAAACATTCAAAATGGACAGGCAAAAGTCCATAGTTCAGCCCGCCTTTCTCTTTGGTGTTTCCCTTTTTATTCACCAGCCACTAGTGCAATCCTCCATGCAGTCCCTGGCTTGCAGGGCTGATTTTTAGGTTAATTGTTAGGTCCTAACACCACTCCACAATATCAAAGCTGTTTGTGCTGTCAGGATCGCTGCTAGACTTCAGCTCCATGTGTCTCCTTTTTTGGTGTTTTCATGCAAATTCTTCTACTAGTTGGAGTTTAGTCCACTTCTATATCCTTCCCTTCAAAGTGCAGGGGTCCAGGATTATCTTCCATATCTGTGTTGATTGGTTTCCCTTTTCTTTGTTGAAGAGGGTCTGTTCAGTCTTTCTGCCTATTCTGCCATCTTACTTGAACCCTCATTCTGTTCAGTTCTCGAGGAACTGAGTTATCATATTTACTTATCTGCCTCCAACTGAAGAGACAGATAGGATGTGGACTGAACTTTGATTCATGAGGTATCATGTCCGCCTATGTGTCTTAACCAGGATGGGGGTGATAGTTGAGCTTTCATTCTATTCAGTTCTTAAGGAACTGAGTTATCATGTTTACTTATCTGCCTCCAACCACAGATGCAGGCTAGATTTTGATTCTACTCTGCTTCAATTCTTCCTCCAATCATGATGCTGTGATCTTCTTCATATAGTCCATCTTCTTCATATAGTTCATTATTTGCTCAGCACATAGATTGAATAAGTACAGTGAAAGGAAGCAACCCTGACAGATTCTCTTCCTGATTTTAAACCATGCAGTATCCCCTTGTTCTGTTCAAACAACAAGCCTCTTGGTCTGTATACAGATTTGTCATGACCATAATTAAGAGTTCTGGAATTCCCATTCTTCATAGTGTTATATATAATTTGTTTTAATCCTCATAATTGAATGTCTTTGCATAGTCAGTAAAACATAGGTAAACATCTTTCTGGTATTCTTAGAGTACATAGTCAGTACTACATATATCTATGTTTTGTTGTTTTTGTTCAGCTCAGGAATTTGAGGCCCATAATGGATAAGTGAAGCATTCCTGGTGGCACAGTGGTTTAAGTGCTTAGCTACTAACAGAAAGGTTGACAGTTCAAATCCACCAGCCATTCCATGAGAGAAAATGTGGCAGTCTGCTTCTATAAAGATTTATAGCCTTGGAAATGCTATGAGGCAGTTCTACTCTGTCTTGTAGGGTCACTGAGTCAGAACTAACTCAACAGCAACAGATTTTAATGGTTAAGTGATTTACCCAAGGTCACTGAGGTAAGTTAGTGACAGATTGAAATACGAAGTCTAGATCATAAGCCCTTATTGTGGTATTCTTTTTACAATACTAGAGTATAATGCAATAGTATCATCTAGATTACTTGGTGCATGATATCTTCAATTTCCATGAGAGGCTTACTCAAAAGCAGGTTTTGAAATTACTCTATCAGAGAGCTGATTGGCAGAATCAAGCAAAATCCACCCATTGGCTAAAACCAAAATGAAAATTAAAAATATTATTGCCTATATCTAAGGCATTTGACTGCTAACCAGAAGGCAGGCGGTTCAAACCCACCAGCCACTCCTTGGAAGGAAGGTTGGGTAATCTACTTCCATGTGATACCACCTCGGAAACCCAAGGAGGGGTTGCTGTGAGTCAGGTCCGACTTAATGGCAGTGTGCTGCTGCTGCTGCATATCTTTCATTGCTTCCTATTCTCTACATTTTATATCTGAAGGTTTCCAGCAGCGAATCTGAGCAGGCTATCTCCTGCCCTGGTAAAGTTCTGTGGAGGTGTAGTTTTTTTTAATTGTTTTTTAAATATTGACTTTGAATCCAGTTCTTTGCTAGAGCAAGTGTGAAGGCTTTGGGCACTTGAGATGGGAAGTGGCACCAAAAGAGAATGACTCTTATTTTAAAGCACTGATGATAACACCCATCTTCTATGTGTTTTTCTTAGCATTCTGTTGAGGAAGTACTTGAAGCCATAAAATTCAAAGTGGAGATGAAATTATTAAGTGACACAGTTACAGCAGGTATTCTTCTAAATTAATGTTTTTAGAATTTAACTTTATTGGGATTTTCTACTTACAAAAGAAATGCATAGTCATAACAAATTCAGAAATTGCTGAAATATATTTCAAGTGAAGATTTTCTATAATCCCTTCTCTGAGATAACCATTATTAACTGATTTATCTTCTCTCTCTCTTCCCTTCTGAGTTTTAATAAAATCATGAGAGCATATCATACAAATAGTTTTGGTGATTTTTTTTTTTAATATAGCAAGTGGGCACTTTCTAAGTTAGAACACTGGTAACCTCACTTTTTGTTTTTTAGAAGCTATATTAACATTCCATTCCAATATTGAAAAATGTTACATGTACCTGAATATCTCTTGATAGACAGTAAGATTATTATTTTATTATTGCAATCATTGTTTCAGTAAACAATTACAAGGACACACAATTGGGACTTTCTCAATACATTGAGTATTTATAAGTTTTTGTATTGAATCTTGTTCTGGAAAATACCAACTTTGGTATAGTTTACAAATGTGAAAAATGATAAATTGAAGCCCATTGCTTTTGAGTCCATTCCAACATATACTCTCACTGCTGTCGAGTTGGATCCGACTCATAGGACCCCTCCTTGGGTTTCTGAGGTGGTATCACTACAGAAGAAGATGCCCAATCTTCCTTCTGAGGAATGGTTGGTGGGTTTGAACCACCAGCCTTCTGGTTAGCAATCAAATGCCTTAGGCATTATGCCACCAAAGCTCCCATTCCAACTTATAGCAATCCTACGTTGTTGTTAATATGCTGTCAAGTCGGACCCGACTCACAGCAATCCCTCCTTGGGTTTCTGAGACAGTATCATTGCCGAAGTAGATTGTCCAACCTTCCTTCTGAGGAGTGGCTGGTGGGTTTGAACTGCCAGCCTTCTGGTTCGCAGTCATGTGCCTTAGGCACTATGCTACCGGAGCTCCAGTAACCCTATAGAACATTTCTTCAGTTTGAGTAGAACTGCCTCATAGTGTTCTCAAGGCTGTAATGTTTATGGAAGCAGACTACTACATCTTTCTCCATCAGAGCATCTGGTAGGTTCCAACTACCAACTTTTCAATTTGCAGCCAAGTGCTTAACCACATAGACAGTAAGATTATTATTTTATTATTGCAATCATTGTTTCAGTAAACAATTACAAGGACACACAATTGGGACTTTCTCAATACATTGAGTATTTATAAGTTTTTGTATTGAATCTTGTTCTGGAAAATACCAACTTTGGTATAGTTTACAAATGTGAAAACTATACCAGGGCTCCTTGTGATGATAGTGGTGTCTACTTGTAAATCTTTTCTTTTAGGATTTATGTGCATCTCTGCCAATAACTCTGAAGGAATCTATTTGCTAAATATCTCTTAGCATATTTTTCATAATTGGTTTCTTGTTTACTTCTTTACTTTTCCTAACATGCTTTTGTTTCAGAAGTCACCTAGGTTTATATATTTTTAGGTTTTTTTTTTTTTAAATAATCTTTACTGAATGATCTTCCTGTTAAAAATATGACTCTACAGGAGTTAATGAACCTCTGTCAATGAAACGTAGTAGGTGATCACAAAATAATATGTATCACAAACACCTAAGTTTCTACACAGTATTCTTTTTTTCTTTTTGGATAAATGAATTGTTAATTAAATAAATTTGAAAATTAATTAAAGAATGCAATCTGTTGAATACACACAAGGACAAAAGGAAGGTAATTGCCTAACTGGAATTTTCTTTGGTTATTTCTATTCATTTTTAGTGCCTGGTCTCCATGTGTTAAAATCAGTGCCAGCTCAGTGTGCTTCCTTTTTATGTGAGGAAAATTTTAACCATAAAACATAATACTAACAATTTCTGAATTTTTCCTGTTTGGTTCTAAGCATTTTACATAGATTAACTCATTCACTTTTCCTCTAAATTGTGTATAATAGATACTACTAGTATCCTCATTTTGTAGATGAAGAGACTGAGGATAGAGATGTTAGTGTATTTTGGCCAAGGTCACACAGATGGTAAAAGGTTTACCTGTAAGCAGTCTGACTTCCTCTTAACCACTACCCTATATTGAAAGAATTATAGTGCAAAGTGGGAATGGTCCATGTGATTGATGTGTGACTTCAGATAGTTCCTGTGATCACACACTGAGAATTTTGCAGTCAAAGAACTTGTCGATTCTTTTGGGAACCAGAGTGATTATCTAATCCAGTTTGTTCTCTTTTCAGTCCTCCATCCCTGTTTTTCTATTAGCTGGGCTTATTTTTGGTGGGGGGTGGAGGGCGAAAACAAACCAGCTTTAATTACACATATAGACAAAATTTGTATTTTTTCTCCCTGCCATTTTACTTTTTAACTCAGTTTTTTTTTTTTTTTTTTTATTTCCCAGAAATATTTATTGCTGTGATGGGGAGTTATGTGATTATTCTTTGTGTTGAATCATTGAGGTTTACATTTATAATGAAGATGCTTTTCTATATAGGCAGTCCCCAGGTTATGAATGAGATCCGATCCTAACTCTGTCTTTGTTTTTTTTTTTTTTCCTCTTTTTTTTTTAAGAGCTTGTTTTACATTCAAAGTCATGTGTACATTTAGTTTCATTCCCCATTCACCATGTCCAACACTAAGCCAGTCTCCTCCCCTCCCTACCCTGCAACACTCTCCCTGTGCCTCTCATAATTATGCACTCCTGTTTGTCCTGCATTTCTTCAGTTTGAATGTTGGTCTTTTGGTGTCTTATGGTCTATTGCTTTAAGGGATGTATTACCACTGAGTGTGTGGGTGCGGCATCCTGGGTTGAGTGGTCTGTGTGTACATCTTGTTACTATTGGGCTGAGAGCCCGCCCCTGGGGGTGAGTTTTATTCCAGGCACTGAATGTATTTCAGGGACATAGTATTGGGAGTCTCACCAGATTTTTAACCTCATAGTGTTCAAATTTAAGAAATTAATTTTGACAATTATTTAATTTTATGTTAAACCATTTTTTGATCTTTAATAAAATAGATATTTAAAAATTGTGTTATAGAAGTAGCACCTGCTTATTCTATAAAAATTCCTAAAATGTTAGCATATGGATTATAAGTGAAGCTCTCCATCCTTACACAAACCTAGTAGTACTTCCATAGTTAGCTTTATTAATAGTTGTGAGTTAACCATTAAAAAAAAAAATTAACAAATTAACTTAAAACTTATTTTACTATTTTTTTTTTTCCATTTTCCTCTTAATGCAAAATAAAATGTCATGTCTATTTAGAAACTGGGAGCTCTGGTGACATAGTGCCTAAAGCAGTTAGACTGCAAACCAGAAGGCTGGAGGTTCAAACCCACTAGCCACTCTTCGGAAGACTAAGCATTCTACTGCTGTAGAGATACTGCCTTTGAAACCCAAGGAGGGGTCACTCTGAGTCAGAATTGACTTGATGGCATTGAGTTTGGTTATTTAGAAACTGTATGAATTTGATTCATTTTAGCACAGTTGTTGCTGATAGAGAATTGTTATGAAAAGCCAGAACTCTTTGGAAAAAATGAGGTTGATTTATTACAATTCACAACCCTGGGTGGAGTGTACCACGTGAATCTTTTGGAGCTTCCTCCACAGTGTAAACCGGTGAAGGGCTGGATGATTGTGGAGGTAGGTGGAGTCTCCTTTTTATTCTTATTCTTCATTGAGGTGAAATTCACACAACATGAATGTAACCATTTTAAAGTGTACAACTTAGTGGTAGTTGCTGTAAAGATTTAATGCCTAGGAAACTCTATGGGCAGTTATACTCTGTCCTGTAGGTTGCTGTGAGTCAAAATTGACTTGATAGCACACAACAAGAAGTACATTCACAATGTTGTACAGCCACCACCTCTGTAGTTCAAAAGCATTTTCAGCACCCCAAAACAAATCCCCTTGTCCATTAAACAGTCATTCCTTATTTCTGTCTTCCTCTAGCCCCTGTCAACTACCAGTTTTCTGTCTCTATGGAATTAGTTATTCTGGATATTTCGCAAATGGAATCACACAATATGTGACCTTTTGTGTCTGGCTTCTTTCGCTTAACATAATGGTGCTAAGATGCATCTACATTGTAGCATGTATCAATACTTCATTCCTTTTCATGGCAGAGTAATATTCTATTGTATGTATAAATAGTGTGTTTGTTTATTCATTCATCTGCTGATGGACATGTGAGTTGATTCCACCTTTAGGTTATTGTGAATAGTACTCCTATAAATATTTCTGTACACATACTTGTTTGAATACTTGTTTTCTGTTCTTTTGGTTATATACCAGGAGTGGAATTGCTGGTTCATATGGTAATTCCATGTTTACCTTTTGATCAATGTTTACCTTTTACCTGCCAAACAGCAGGTTGATTTATGAATCAAAATTTTTAAGTAAAATAATTCCTCACACTTATACTTTATCTCAAAAGATATAATATGTAATGAGCTTTAACTCTGTTAATCACAAAGAAAGTTTCAATACTGCCAATTTAACCTTAATGACAGCCTAGATCAGAGGTAGGCAAACTTGTACTGTACAAAAAAAACCAAACCCACTGCCGTAGAGTCATAGCTGACTCGTAGTGACCCCTCCTTAGGATTCCGAGGTGGTATCACTATGGAAGTAGATTGCCCAACCTTCCTTCTGAGGAGTGGCTGGTGGATTTGAACCACCAGCCTTCTGGTTAGCAGTCA